CGCCCATCGCCCAGCGCCCCGCAGCGCGGCTGGCGAACGGGGTGAGCGTTAAATGAGATGGAAATATCTCTGGGATATCAGGTGAAGAACGTCGCCGTGAAGCATGGTCTTCCAGGAGACTGCTCGCCACAATGTGCATCTCTAGTGTTCGCCTACGCGCGCATCTGTGTGTGTGTGTGTGTGTGTGTGTATGTTAATATACCGGCTTAGGAATATGATAGTTTCATTAAAATTTCCTTATTCGTCACCGTAGGTTCATCTCTTAGAGGAGTGAGATACTGCACATTTTAATATCTTCGTAAAAAAATCTTCAACATATTTATGAATAAACATGACTTTGGCCTTTTATTTCGTCAGAAACAATTATTATTTCTTCGTCTTCTGAATGTCCCAAGGCGTTTGTAGCAGAAGTCCTACGTAGCGTCAAGACTTCTCTGCCGGCGTGCGCTGGTTATATCGCGGAGGGTTAAGACAGGACGTACCGCCCCATGGCTCCCCTTTTCGGGCCGAAGACGACGATAATAGTGGTAAGCGGTCCATGGCCCGTTTTATACAGTACTGCTCCAGCATTCTCTTAGAAGAGATCAAGGAAACCACTCGTCAGGGCAGTCGGTCTACCAAAACGATTCCGGCACCTACCATATTCACTGATGTTAAACCGTGGACTGAAATTCTGGCGCCTTGCCGGGATTGAACCCGCGACCTCCCAATCGCTGGTCGCAAGACACTGCATATACGCTTGCCGCCGTCGGCGTTGATCTTTTAAAGACCGACCTTACGCCCCAACACATCAACAGCACATGGCACGGCAACACACCGCAGCAGCTGCAAAGAAGCAAGGGGCGGCATGTCGAGAAATTGTAGGGTGTTAACTGAGGGTCAAGGAATTTTGCTTTCAGTGGCTTGTCGGTGGAATCGCTACGAAAAAAGAAGAGATCAGTTGTTTGCATTTTGAAAACGAAGCAGTTAATTTTTGAACCCAAAAATGTCATGGTGGACTGCTACGGTCTCAGTAACACACACAGCTCAAAAAGAACTCCCAACATTCTTGGGGTGTTCATTGCACTCACCAATGAATCGACTACTCCCAGACAAACCACTCTACCAAAAATATTCAGCTGTCTTTTCTGTTTTGTGCATCCCATTTAAAGATTACCGTAACTATGTCCTACCATGTAATTGGCTTTCATGTTTAACATTGATTGATTGGTTTAATATTCACACCCAAGTTAACGAAAATAATGACACCGAAATAACCATTCTCAATCACTTTTCCTTTAAATTGAATTTAGCATTACACAAAATCACTTACATCCTCGTTTCTGTGATCTAATAATTTAAAACTCTAAAGAAACAAACCTCTAAAAAAATTAACCTAAACTACATTCTGAATATTTTTGGGAAAAAAAATTCTAAAACCAAATATTCGTTTTGGCAAAATAATCAAAGCGGTGTAGGCGAGGTACGTTATTATCCACAGCGCAAGGAGCTTCTGCTGTGCAGCCCTCTCATATGATAGCGCGACCTTGACCCAGCGCGCCCCTCCGTCGTCGTCGCCGTCAAAACCCTCGTCACCGTCGCCGATGATATCGAAGCGGGCACCGTACCTTGCTGGTCAGCCCTACCTCGATGCCTCATGGAGCACGACCGGCTCCAGAGGCTACACCCCCTCCCCCTCCCCCTCCCACTCTCCGACGTCATATCAAGAGCGGAGATTCTTATGTAACATCAAATAGCAATATGTGTGCATATGTATACAGCAACAATCGGGCAAATATGGAGACCAATATGTAAAATACTCCAAAATATGTAGTACATATTTTATATCAGTTTCACATTCACATGCATACCTGTGTACATTTTCTCATTAATCTTGGCAGCTCAGTGAGCAATTGTGTATTTCTGAAAGTTCTCTGGGGTCATTAACTGACGTCGGCCAGACGAATATTCTTGTGAGTAGACATGGGGCAAAATCGGTCAAATGCCTATTTAATTTCTTTAGGAGGTTGTTGAAAATAATCGCAGATGTTTACGAATTATGACGCAGTATGTAGATCTACTGAAAGTATCTAATAGCGCATTAAAGGTCCTAAAGGGCGGTTTATGCCCATTTTGATATTTTTTCTGTTAATTGATGAAAATAAGTAATTTTGAAGAATTATCATTTATTACTTTTTTTAAAAAAATTGTTATACCAAAATGAAAATACTTTCCTGAATTTCTCGAAACGCGATAATTCCCTGATCGACGAATACGCAATCGACTGCGCATCGAAATCTCTCCTCCAACAAGCCGAACATAAGAAGCTCTCTGCCAGTCAATATAAAGATGTTTCACGCTCGTCTCCGATCAAAACGCACTTCTTAGGCAATTGCACCCATTCCCTGTGCAGCTTCGCAGTGGACAGGTTGAGACTTATCGCCGCGGCGCAAGTCTGAGCAATTCAGGCGAGGAACACAGGTCAGCCAAGTGTCTACTGTTGGACAAGCAAATCTTATAAAATTGGCCCAAGTCTTGAACCCCCTTGACAGTAAAAATGATCATTTCGAGTTTTCTGTTCTGTGTGAGTGTGTATGTGTGCGCGCACGTGTGTGTAGGGTCCAGAATTCAATTCTGAAGTCCGAGAATGCATTTTTATCGGATTTTCATGGACTGTTACACTCGCGCAAATATTACCTGATTGTTTGCTTATTTCTGCACTCATAAGTTAAAACAAACTATTTCTTCATGCCGATGAACTGCGATTAGGAAACCCATTGGGCGCGTACCATCAAACATGTTCGCAGAGTCTGACCTTCCGAAGGAGGTACCGCTCCCATCTGTGGTCAACCACAGAAGCAGCTTGCCCAGCGTTCGCCAGCTCATAAAGCATGTGCGAGAGCGCTCCCTTCTGTTCGGGAACTTTGGAATATTTAATTTTTATTTTCGTCACAGGCGACCGCCGCTTACTTATATAGGATGTCTCGTATATTGTTGTCCCGTCTCTCTTTAACACATATACCCTTTTTCGTTGTGACAAGGAGGATCCAGAGATGTCAAAGCTACACACCAAAGAAATGTATTTACGTGAGGGTTGTGAGAATTACGTCCTGTATGGGAAGCGCGTGCTTCGGGTAGAAGATTTTTTACTACGTCACGAAGAAAAGCACACAGAATCGGAGAAAAGAGAGAAACATTAATGTTCGTAACTTTGAGAAGAAGGAAATTTTCAAAAATACAAAATCTTTGATATCAAATCTTCACGTGCACAACTTACAATAAAACGTCTTCGTTTCTTCATACGACTACATAAATGTAATCAAAATGGCCTTCTATGTCTTATTACTACTATGTCTAAACTAAGTACAATATCACCATCTTAGGGCTCTTTTGGATATTATAATCAATACTGACCAAAATTTGTCGTATCCCTTTCGGAATTTATAAAGAAACACGCATACACACAACATGTTTGACACTGGCCCAGATTATAATTAACGCTCGTAGCGTGACGCTACCTGCAACACAAGCTCATTGCTGGCGATTCTCATTGCCGGTGGCCTTGGCCGGAGTTATCTCGCCTTTCCATCAAAATAAACACGGTGCGAAGCGATCTTTTGGATGATTTTGAGCTTTACGTTTACCGAACGGTGACTGAACTCTAATTGAACTTCCACAAAAATTTTTAAGGTATAGACTGTATTTGCAGTGATGTGTTATGAAGATATCATTTATGTAGCTATCTGAAGCTCAGGACAATACATCATACTGAATAAATACAAGAAAAACTACTCAAGGTCTGTTTTATTTTCTACCTCTTGGATCGCGCCCAGTATTCATTTTTAAGCCCTAAAATACTGCAGGAATTAATTTGAATTGTGCCGCATTTTGAGAACGTACTAAATTAAGATCAATTGAATATAACACAAAATACTCGTCTATATTACAATACTCTATTGTGCGAAACGCAATGCTTCCCTCACAGAAAATTACGCGACAGTTCGCCGATAACTTGGAGACAGGTAACGCCGGCGCCGTAGGGGAACCCGCCCTGTGAGCGGTATCACGGGAGCAGATTTGTTTTTCGGAGAAACTGTACCTGCCATTCTTCATAAAATCCATGACAATCTGTTGTTTTTTTGGGGGGGCGGGATTTTACGGACACCTGTATGTGTATGTCCTCAATTTAATTATTTTCGATGCAGCCAGTCGTACCTTTTCCTCTACCCATTTCTCTGTGGAAATTGAGACGAACAAAGCAAGCTCCCCGCAGATATCCCATTTACTCTACTCATTGCATTTCACAGGTTACGGCGTGACTTACAGACGCGGGCCTCCAAAAGCAGAATTTAAGAGCTTAGAACTGTTTCCGAGTTACGCTTGGTTGACAGGAGGGATAACTTCCTAAATCTTTGTATATATAACAAACGCCATTGATGTGATAAAATATATCATTTTCAAGGTTTTTCACAACGGTATATCTTTGATTTACCAGTCCTAAAAATTCTGTAGTATAATAGACTAATATATTTTCAAGTGCGAACAAATGTATGTGATATGTTTACTAACTAGTTCAATTTTTTGTTGTTGTAAAAAGTGAATTTTTAAAGTCCTTGTGCGAATTAAGCCAATCACTTATTTTTGCTCTTTTAACTTTGGAAGAATACTGAGCTTTTGTTTTTATTTTTCAGACGAACGAGAAGACGTCCAGAAAAAGACGTTTGCGAAATGGATCAATTCCCAGCTCATCAAGGTAATAATAAATTACAAATAACTTTTTTTAATTTTTACTCGCTTGTAATGTACTTTTAGTCTTTTGAAATGTAGTTGTCATTCCAAACACATTTGGAAAAAGTGCCTCGCGCACCCATCATGAATTCGTTTCAACATCATCTTCCAACCATCTGTTTCAATGTTGTATGCCAAATTCCCCTTGTCTTCAAAGAAACTTTTGTGGCGTTGTAACTTTATATGTGATAGATTTTTAGATGTAGCTGTTTGTTCGACCTCGTGCAGTGTCGGGTACAACGGCTGTTAGACTTTCGCAACTTACGAAAATATTTGGGAATTTCATTGCTCTGGTAAAGTAAGGGAAAATCAGGAAATTTGTGAAATAATTGTTTGAAGTCTGGGAACATTATTAGACTGTTATAAATAGGGCTCGGACGTTTAGGTAAATTCATATTTTTCTCCTTTAGCGTTGAAAGTTTAGTGGAAATTCAAGCAGCCTCCCGTAGTTTCTATACACCAAATTGCATATCACCTAAAAATGAATAAAAAAATTGTGTGATTCATTACCAACAATATTACATATTGTTGGCAATGACTACTCATATAATTATTTCATTTGCCAACGAAAACTCACCACTATGCTAATAAAAATGAATAGTTTTTTAAGTTGCTTAAAAGTATATATTTTGTCGAAACAAATAATATTGGTGTCATATATCGGACACTTATAATACATTCGTTTTTAGGACAATGTGTTTAGGACAGACGAATTTGTTACCGTAGAAGTTTATATTGTGTTCATAAATAAAACAGGATTTGTACTCATTTAATATTCAGGTCTTGTAACAGTTTCGAAGAAACATGTTTTCCGCATCAAACTAAAGTACAAGGAGTTAAAAGCATACAATGGAACAAAGAGGCTAACATGTGAAACAAATTACATATCTGTTATATGTAAAACAATTTGTATTAATTATACAAGAAAAACTAAGAATACTCAATATAAGGAATACAGAGCTAACCAACAAAAAGGACAAAACTAAACATGAAAATGTTATAACAGATGAAGAAATGTATCAAAGCACTAGGTCATTGATATGTGCCAAAACAGGCATGTTATAGCAGTCAGCACACGACATGTCATGATAGGTAGGCAGGGAACTATCATCTGAGAAAACATTAGTCCAAAAGAGGTGATGAAGATAGCAAGTAGAATGGAAGGTGGAATCTGATTGGAAGAAGCCACACGGAAAAACAAACACAACCTATGTTGGTAACATATAACGGAATAATTGCATTATTATTCCTTACGGAACAAATATTGTTGCAAGTTTAAGTCTCTGTAGTTTTGTGAGTATACTGTGAAAGACATGCCAGTTCAGAATATAGTTGTTAGTCGCACATCACGTGTTACTGTGCGACTTCTCCGATAGTGGAGTCTGGTTCACAATCTATCAAAACGACAGAGGGCCCACAGGCAATGACACTCCGAGCGATAACATACTCATGACATGAATAACTCTCAAACGTCCTCAGATTGCACAGACGAAATGTGCAGAATGATAAAGAGGATGATATCACGTTTACTTCGAAACTTCTCGATCTCCACTGGTTTTCATAGGGTAATGAATAAATATTTTCGTCGTTTAAACACATTTTTAATATGTTAGTCACATGAAACAAATATTTTCCGGTTTTTAGCACCTAAAGTCCGAACCCTAGTTATAAAAATAGACATTCCTTGTCAAAACTCAGCATTTGTTTTGCTAAATTTCTATTTGTCGAGTAAATTTGTACTTTATGGCGATATGAGGGAGGCCAATCAGTTTCAGACTTCCTTTAATGATGTAGTGTGAAATACTCTTAAATCTTCTCAGAAAAAAATGGTCTGGAAAACCAGAAAAAGGGTGGAACATTTGTTTCCGGAAATGAGTGGTGGTCACCTGCATAGGGCTTGCACACGACCCAACTTTTGGAAAAGTATGCAAAGCTGACCGCCGTGTCCAGACAGACGCACTGCACAGCGGGCGACGGGCCGGCAAGCGAGCTCAGTCCGCGGGGGAGGCTCGTCGTTAGGTGACGCCCGAAATGCAAGCGAGCGGAATCTGCCGCGTCGCGAGATTCTTCGAGTTGACGCCTCTCCGCGCGGAAGCGCATTCCTCCGCCCACGCGGTGCGCTGGCTGCTGCTGCTCGACATGTGACTTGGAGGCCACGAGGGGCGCGCGGGCTTATACTCACTGCATCCAGCGGTCAACTTCTCTTAAGCCGTGACATACCTTCTCAAAAGGCATAGCTCCACTAAATACCGTTCTGTTTGCCTCCTTAGTATGAGGATTGATTTCAACGTTTCACGTGGTCGGCTTAGAAACACATTGGGCGATTATAATTTTTCACTCCTGTCTGTTTTCAAGAAACATTCGCATGTCCTTTTAGAGTACTCCCAACGTTCAAAACCACCGCTTAAAAGTTTGTGGAAATGTAACAGGAAGAAGCCTATCATGAACATCTTCTTACCTCGCTGACTTCACATCAGAATTCTGAAGAGTCGGTGATGTTCACATCTGTTAGAAGTTTTCTCTAAACTAGTGCGAGAACTGTGTGCGCTACTTATGAATACCAACTTAACTAACATTTTTATTCCTTCCGAAACACCGGATGAATGAAACGAGATGCAGTCGGGCTATGCCTTCTCGGGTAACGAAAAATTAAAGTTTTTGCTGTTTACCCGTTTGTATGTCTCATGTTAAACCGTAAGAAGGGGATTAGCTGGGGAAGCGAGTGAGAGGGGAAAAGTGACCGCGGGATGCATTCGGGCGTTACCCCGCTACGCATGGGGCCTCGAGTAGGTTGATTGAGGCGTCTTACTCCAGGGACTGCGGCAGGACTATTTTCCTCGGTAGTTTTGTAAATATTGTGTTCAGATTGCTGAAGTGTAAATAAACTTGTAAATAGAAACACAGTATGTGTAAACTTGTTCTATCCGGTAGACGTCACACTATACTCCTCAGAAACGTCCATCTCCATGAACTTGCCAAGTAAAAATCTTGGTTAATAGAAAACATCTCAAATTTATTTTCTAAAACATGTTTAAATCTGTGTTTTCAGTGCACTTTAGTCTGTTATTCTACGGGTTGTATACCTCTCTTAGCCTTCTTCGTGGAAAAGAAACACTGAACAATATACAATAAACTTATTTTTGAGTAGATGATTTCTCGTAACTTACATATGGTGCATGTTTTGTAGAGATTCTAAATGGCTGTTGAGATAGTTAATTGGTAAGGCTAGATAGTAACGTCCCTGTCGTTTTACAATCAGTGAACGTACTCCGAACATTTTTTATTATGTAACAAATTAGTGAGGGTTCTCTGAATTTTCTGTGGGGGAAGAGTAATGCGTTCCTGTGGAATAAGCAGCAATCCAGAGTGGAGCTTGGGGGAAGAGCGCGGGGCGAAACCTCTTGATAACCACACGGTCTCGAATCGTATCAAATATTATTCCTATTCCAAGATCGCTTCATTATCGTTTATGTGTACTTGCACTTGAGGGAGGAGACATTTTTTTGTCATTTCGTACTCGATATAAACCCTGCGAAATTTTAGAAACGTAGACTAAGTTTCTAGCGCAATGCCGTTAAGAAACAGTTTTTAAATTTCGTTGTTAAATATAATCCCCAGTCATGTCCTCCAAAGCCCCAGCAGCTGGCTAAATGTGTGTCAAAATGCACCCTGGCCCTGCCATGTCGTAAATACACACTGGCCAGGAGCGTACAATGGTCTGGCGATCTCGGTTTGATTGACGTCTGCCATTCGCGTGCGCCAAATCCTGCTTATGTTTCGTTCGGGATGTCTACTTCTATTGAAGAAAAAGACTCGCAAATCGTTGCACAAGAAGTTAATTTGAAACGACTCAAAATGTGCGTAAACAATTCGGTATATGTAAATGTTTCAATATATTTATGAATTGTACAAAATGTCACTTAATTCATGTCTTCACTATGAAGATTGATATTTTGGAATTTAGTTACGCTAAGATTTTTTTAGAAATTACAAGAGACTAACGAAGTTGAATATATAAAAGAAAACTATGCTTCTCGCTTCATACAATGTCACTTTGATTTATTCACACAAAAATAATTTCTTTAATTAATATTGTAGTATAATTCACATAAATATATAACGAAGCACAAGTATATTAAGATGTCATACAAGATATTAAAATATATTTAAACATATAGAGTTGTATTAGAAATGTTAAAAACGAGCATTAAGTAAAATGTTGCTTCCTCAGAAAGGAGTTGCTTTCATTATGTGATATTCCTGTATTTGAGGTTAGAGATTTCGGCGCCAAATTAAACAGTGATAAGGTGATCACACACTCTCAACTTACGGGATGTGCTTACCAGTGGCGGCGGCGTCCTTTCCCAGAAAAACCAACCTCGGGAAAAGTTGCAGGAAGCATTAAACATGCAATAAATAAAAACTTGTTTAATTTGTGCATGCAATCAGTGCGATTGTTGAGAACGCACTCAGTTTTTATCCAAAAAAGAGAGAGATTTCCTCGGTAGTTTTGTAAATATTGTGTTCAGAATTGCTGAAGTGTAAATTAAACTTGTAAATAGAAACACAGTATTGTGTAAACTTCTTCTATCCGGTAGACGTCACCTCACTATACTCCTCAGAAACGTCCATCTCCATGAACTTGCCAAGTAAAAATCTTGGTTAATAGAAAACATCTCAAATTTATTTTCTTAAAACATGTTTAATATCTGTGTTTTCAGTGCACTTTAGTCTGTTATTCTACGGGTTGTATACCTCTCTTAGCCTTCTTCGTGGAAAAGAAACTCATGAAAGTCAATATAAAATAAAGCTTATTTTTGAGTAGATGATTTCTCGTAACTTACATAAGGTGTATGTTTTGTAGAGATTTCTAAATGGCTTGTTGAGATAGTTAATTGTAAGGCTAGATAGTAAACGTCCCTGTCGTTTTACAATCAGTATGAACAGACTGCGAACATTTTTTAT